GAGACTCTCAGCTCCACGGGCTAGACCCAGATGTCGGGGCAGGACTGGAAGTGACACTAACGTGACATGTGACACAGGTGTGGAGTATTTGGGGAGATGATAAAGTTTTGTCTGATATTTGCAAAAAAAAAAAAAAAAAAAAAAGCAAGCATGGAGAAACTAAAAAGATAGTAAAATACAGAGAGCCTTGACATGAGGAGCTTAGAAAATTAATGATAAAAACAAACTCACCCACTCATAACTTGGTGAGAAATTCCAAAGAAAAGATTCAAAACAAAGGGCCAACGTCTCCAAACCAGACAAAGCTGCTACTTCAAAGTTATGCTCAAGAATCACCTCGTCACACTTTTTCAAGTTTTGAGAGTGTGGCACAACACGCGTAATGTAAGCAGTCCCCTACCTGGTGACAGGTAAGAGTGGCAGAGCATCCGGTGACATGAACACTTGGTTTCTGCAAGGTTACCCCTCACTGTCTTCCTAATCCACACAATACTTTTGGGGGGGGTTCTTTGGGTTTTTGTTTTGTTTTTTCTTTAACATTAGACCCAGGCAGCATCTGGCTAGCCAGTCCGTGCACGGTGCAGGCCCTCCCGCCTCGGGGTGTTGGTATGTGAATGTGAGGGGATGGGGAGCCCCCCTGCCAGCCGGGCCTCAGTGGTGGTTTCCAGAGGAGGTCGGTATTCCTGAAGGGGTGGGGCAGAGCTAACAATAAACGGAGCATCGCTTCTCAGGCCACAGTTTAAACCAGGGCTCTCCTCACCTGAGCACCCAGAAAGGTGATCGGCCCTAGATTCCCAGAAAAGGACTATTTAAGAAAGAGTTAAAGAAAAAAAAATATATCGTCCAATAATATATCAGGATTTATGCTTTTTATACTTACATTCTTTCCCAACTTTGACTATTCTGTCCTAAATTAAAATCTATCTATTTCAAAACTGCAGAATTTCTTCTACTATTTTCTTCTAGTTTGTATTCTTAGGGACAACGGAGCGCCAAAATCCCAACCATTTATTGCTATCGAACTTTCCTCAGCGCTTTAGATGAAAGTGCGGACGAAAGTCCACTGTTTCTGCTCTCTGGCGGGGTCGCGGCCGCCCCCCCACATCGACTTGCACACGGAGGAGCAGATGAGATCACTCTCTCAGGCTGGCACCACGTGCTTCACATGGTGGAAATGTTTCAGGCCGGAGGAGGCTCAATGGCTCCCATAAAATTCCATGAGCAATTTAAAATAATCCACAGATGGAAGACCTGGGTTCACACTTGTTTACACAACTTGTCAATTTATGACCTTAGATAAGTCAGTCTCATTATGTCGGCTTTATTAAAGAAAGAACTGATCACCTTCCCCACCTTCCCAACAGGTGAAGGTCAGATAAAATGATGGATGTCACATCGGTCTGTGAGTGAGGCTTGGATGGCCCAAATCCTGGGATCCCAATCTTTGTCCCCCGCTTCTGTATATCAAGGGCCTCCTGCCTGGATTAAATTGCCCTAGGTATTGTCATGAATAACAAGATAACTCAGACATTCTCTTAAAACAAGTACAACTTTATAGGGATTATAGTTCTATGCGTGTTAAGTGACAGGAAAGAAACACAGGCAGTCTGCTCTAAGACTTACAAGGAGGAAAGAGTACCTCCCGCTCAGGGGTCGGAGAGACCTCCTGGAGGGGGGGGCGCAGGAGTGGGCCACTGAAATCTGCATAAAATGTGGACAATTAAAGACTATGACGAAAGGACCAACAGTCAGAGGCTCAGAGAAGGAAAAGCATGGAGTGTTCAGAGGCAGAGCAAAGGTGTGTGGCCAGAACTCCAGAACGCCCTTAAAGAGAACAGAAGGAAATGAAGCTGGAAAATGGAGCCAGACTGTGGAAGGCCCTGCAGTCGGACTGAGACTGGACTCCAATGCCATCCTCACCCACGACCTCCATGGGCCCACATTCTCTAGCTGGACAAACTATTCCCTAAGCATACCTCGACTTTCCTGAACTCCCTCATTTGCTGGTTCAGTCAGCTCCCCAGGATACCGCTCACATTTACTCCGTAGTAAGTCTCCCTAGATTCCCGAAATAGCCTCCTGTGCCCAGTCTTTTCCCACCGCCACTTAACTGCCTCCACAGGGATGTCAGATTGGTCCCAGCGCTAGCTCACCACATCGCCTCCCTGTTCACATGTTTCAGTGATTTCCTGTTGCCAGCAGATAACACGCCAACACCTTCCAGAAGGCAGAGGGTATCCAGTGATCTGGGGCCTCTCCAGGCTTCACTCTCCGTCCCTGCCTCGCAAGCCTCCTTCACTTCTGCCACGATGACCTCCGTGAGGTTCCCTAAACCACCACGCTCTCTTGACCCCTCCGCCCTCTGAATCTGCTGTTCCTTCTGGATAAAACCGAACCTTCCTCTTCCTCCAACTGGATGATATCTGCCCTTCTCTCTTCATACACAGATGATCGCTTAACATTGTTTTAGAGGTGCTAGCCAATGTCATCAGACAGAAAAAAGCAAAAGGCTCGAAAATTGGAAAGCGGAAGTAAAATTACATTCTGTAGATATGATTATACATCTAGAAAACATAGGAGAATCAACTGAAAAAAATGAAACATTTGTAGAATTCAGTAAAAGGATAATAATTTATACACAAAAAAACAATAACATATCTTTATATAAATGGTAGCCAGTAAGAAACTATAAAGTCAGAAACTATTCCTTTATAAGAGCATCAGAAAGATTTTCAGGATTTAGGAAGGACATATATAAATAAGGAAAACTTTAAAGTCCTAAAAAGCAAACTTGCTTCCTGATAGTAAGATCAATTGCTATGTAAACTCCCCAAAGCAAGGGTCTTTCTCTGCTTCGTTCACTGACACATTCCAAGTACCAGGAACACGGCAGGCACTCAATAAGTGCATATGTACAGGACAAGTGCCTAAAACAATCTAGAAAGTCAATGTGACAAATCAAAACACAAACCGGAATTATACTTGTGTTCTGGGGGAAACTGACAGAAATTTCAACCTCCCACTTGGAAACCACACGTAAGATCATTTTTACCTAGCACACGAGCAAAAATCCAGCTGTTCAGGGTTACTGACGGCAGAGAGAACCAGAGTAACCAAAATGTTACTCATGGAACTGAAGCTGGTAGAGTCACATGAAAGGGCAATTTCTTAATAGCTGTCAACATCAAAATCTGTATATTCTTGAAGCAATTTCTCAGTTGAAATTAATTCCATGAATTTGCACATTTATGTGAAAACATATAAAAGTACTGTATTACTCTTTGAAAACGGGGAGAAGCCATCTAAATCTCAGTGACAGACCTGTTCTGTAAGATATACCGCAGTGCAATACTCCGTAGCTGCCCTTAAAACTGCAGTACAGCCATCCCCCGGCAGAGTGCGGGACTGGTTCCAGAACCCCGCCCCCCAGGGGGTGGGCCCCAAACTGCAGATGCTCAAGTCCTGTACATACAATGGCATGTTCTTTGCACATAATCTGTATTTGTTTTCTACGCAGGCTGTAGGCAGGGTATGTCTACATGTCACTCATCCTGTGGATTCAGTATACTGCTCAGCATGTGGCAATTCGAGTTTTGCTTTTTGAAACTTTCTGGGATTTTTAAAAATATGTTTTCGATCTGCAGTGGGTTGAACCCACAAATGCAAGACTCACAGGACTGAAACCGGTGAACATGGACAGTCAATTGCGTGCTACACAGAATGGAAATCAGTCAGCGATGTCTTACTAAAGTGAAAAAGGCAAGGTGCAGAAGAGTATGTGTCGTGCGACCCCATTTGCATTCCAAATCACAGAAGCATGCTGACATGTGAACAGGAACATTCTGGAATGTTACCTTTGGTAATGGATTCAAGGGGGGGGGGAGATGAACAGAAGTAAACTTTTCCTCAAGTACAACAGAAAGCTGCTGCTGTTTTGTTCTGTTTTACCCTAAGCATATATTACTTCCTCACCAGCATCCTCACTTCAGGAAGTACCCTGACCCCTCCCCGCAAGGAGCACTGCCTGCCCACTGCCTGCCCCATCCCATTCGGGACACCCCTCTATTATGGCACTTCTCATGCCACTGTAGCATGAGAAGCTGGCTTCCCGAGTTAGTGAAGAGTTGCTGTGAGGGCAGGGACTGGCTGCTTTTTCTACATTTTCAGCACCTGGTGGAGTGCCTGACACATAGTAACTGCTTCACAAAGACCAGAGGAAGGGAGAGAGGGAGTCCTAGAGGAAGATTAACCAGGTGGAAGCACACAGCACCATTGAGAAGGTAGAATCAGGAGACAGGGAGGGCTGGCCAGAAAGACAGCAATGATTAGAATGAAGAATAGAATCTAGTTATCATACATGAAAGCCTCAGGGTCTGGAGCTAGACAGCCAGGTGTGCTCCAAAGCGGTTAAGAAGCAAGAACTGCCAGCCCCAGAGCTTCAGGCATTTTCGGTGAAAAAAAAAGGTATTGCCACTCTGAAATCCCTACAGCGTCACAAGGGCCTGTGACTCCTTCCAGTGAGGAAGAAGCCCAGAGGCCTCAGCAAATGACTGCGCAACTCACAATGCCTCCCGATCACTTTTGCCAACCATTGCCTCATAGAGTGTTAGAAATGTTAATGAAAACAATCCATGTAAAGCACAATCCCCGGCAGAGAGTACACATTCAAAATAGAAACTATTACTATTGAGTAGCTCACAGAATCTTTTCAAGAGTTCTAAGCACTACAACTGCAAAAGTCAGCACAAAGTCTTTGAGTTCCACCCAGATCCAAGCCTCCCCATTGATCTCTGTGATAAATAAACACACTGCCTTCCTAAGCACATTTAAAACAAACTAGAAGCTGCTACTTCTGTCATAATATCAGACCCCGAGTATAACAGACACTTTCATCTTAGAAAGCCAGAATTTAAACAACCGTTACAAATCCAGCACCTTTCTTTTGTCCCATCCCAGCCACTGGACTGTGCCTGACGTGGCTGGCATTAGCATTCACGTACCACGGCCGGAGGGTCATTCCACTCTTCATAGGAGATGGCGGCGTACGGGTAGATCCGGTCATTGATGATCTGCAGGGTGGCCAGGGCGATGGCTTTGATCGACTGGAAGTACGCCTCCCAGAACCACCGTGCCTGTGAAGAGAAGGACACTGCCGTTAAGTGAGCAAGCAAGCCAGGCGGAGCAGAGGAGCTAGATGCCCGGTCACACCCAACGCTGGGCCTGGGTAACTCCTTTATTCCCCGAAGGGGGAGCCTACAGCAAATGCTCCCCGCTGTCCACACCAGCTCCATCCGAAGTGCGCATTCATCAAACACAGTCAAAACAGAATGTGGGCAAGGGAAGTGCACCCTGGGCTCAACGTAGACCTAAGGGAAATTATGTGATGATGAAAGTATATGTCACGGGTATACCAGAGCAAATGTATAGTATATTTTAGAGATAAAACATACACAAAGTGCAGAAATTTTAGGTGGACTGTTCACTGAATTTATACATGTGAATATAGTTATAACCATCACCTAGATGAAGACGGAGAACACGCCACACCCCAGGAGATTCCCTTACTTTGCGTCCTGGTCAGCACCTCACCCTCTAAGAGTCAATCATTGCTCTGATTTCTATTGTGCCCATATCTGAATTTCAAATAAATGAAATCAAACAATATTTACTCTTTTCTGTCTGACTTCTTTTGCTCAACACTTACAACAGTTAAGTCAGGTTCTGGTATTAAGGTTATGCTGGCGTCATAAAATGAGTTGAAAACTATTCCTTCTTTCTCTATTCCCTGAGAAATTTTACATAAGATTAGCATTGTTTCTTCCTTGAAAGGTTTAGAATACATCAAAAAAGCCCTCTGGCCTAGGTGTTCCTTGGTGCTCAAGGGTTTTAAATCATGGATTAATTTTCTTCATAGACTTAAGATTATGTGTGTGTTCACATATGTGTCAGTTCTGTAAGTACTGGGTCGGCCAAAAAAGTCTGTATGGTTTTTCTATGAAACAAAAGGTACATTTTTCATTTTCACCAATAACTTTATTATAAGATTTGGATAATTTGAGTATGTCGGCTAACTCTCACTATTGGCTTCTAGTGGGTACTAGAGGGTTTGCTAAACACCTTCCAGTGCATAAAGACGCCCCACAGCAAAGAATTATTTGGCCAAAATGTCAATAGTACCAAGAAACTTCGCAAACCACTGTTGATATGTTCTATCAGTCACAGCACCTTCTCCGTACACTGCACACATCTTTGTGTTGCAGCTGTAATAAAGTATAATGTGTCGAAAATATTGCATATCTTCTTCCATCTTCAATATTAAAATGACTGCACAGAAATTCACCAATTTTGATAAGCTTTTATAAAAATGCACACTGACATGACAGCTGTCACAACCTGTTTTAACAAAATTGTTTCAAACGAAGTTAAAGATGACTAACACTAGTAGACCCATCTCATGGAAAAAAACTAAACAAACTTTTCAGCCAAACGAACAGTATTTTTCAAGGACTTTGCTCATTTCAATTACATTGTTAAATTTATTAGACTGAAAGTGTGTGTTGTCTGTTTAATGCCTGTAGAATCTGTAATAATATACTGTTTATTCCTGATATTCATAATATGTGTTTTCTCTTTGCATGTGATTAGTCTTAGCAAAGGTCTATAAATTTTATTAATCTTTTCAAAATACCAGTTTATTGGATTTTTTAATCATACTTTTTTTCTATTTTGTTCCTTTCTGGTCTTATTTTTATTTCATTTCTTCTGTGTTGGAGGACTTCTGTTGATCTTCTGTTTAGTTTCTTGAGACTGAGGTTTAGATAACTGATTCCAACCATTGTTTCTACTATGTCTGTTTAAAGCTATAATCTCACCTCCATGCGCTGTTTCAAATGCACGCCACACATTTATATGTCATGTTCTTTACAATTCTCCCAAATTGTCTAATTTCCACTGTGATGTCTTCTTTGACCATGAGTTACTTTAGAAGTATACTGTTTAATTTTCAAACATTTTGGGATTTTCTGTTTATCTATTACTGGTTTCTATTTTGTTTGCACTGTGGTGTGAAAGCATAAGTGTTTTTTTAATACTTTTTAATTTATTTAAACTTGATTTATGGCCTAAGCGTTTTGTTTATTTTTGTAAATATAAAAAGTATGTTCTGCCTGACTGGTGTAGCTCAGTGGATTGAGCTCGGGCCTGCGAACCAGATAATTGCGGTTCGATTCCCAGTCAGGGCACATGTCTGGGTTGCAGGCCAGTTCCCTGCAGGCCAGTTCCCAGCAGGGGATGCGCAAAGGGCAACCATACATTGATGAGAAAGAAAAAAAAAGTATGTTCTGCAGCTTATAAGTATAATGTTCTATAATTGCCAAAGTGGAGTAAATTGATTAGTGCTGTTTAAATAGTCTACACCCTTATTGCTGTGTTCTGTGCGTGTGCGCATGTGGACATGTGCGTGTGTGCTTATTTCTACACTCTCGCCTTCAAATTTGAGTCCTCACGGCTTGTTTCAAGATTGTCTCTTGTAAAAGAACATACATAAGTTTTAATATTTTATTCCATCCCCAAATCTCTGGCTTCCAATTGTACAGAGTCCCATTTACACCTGACGTGACTGCTGACATGGCTGAGTGTGTGATCATCCTATTTGTTTCATTTGTTCTTGTTCCTTTACTTCTCCTTTCTTGCCTTTAGAATTGGCCAAACACATTTTAGTGTTATCCCATGCTTTTCTTCTTCATTAGATTGCTGATTTTTGAGTCTTCTGTTGTTCTGTTAGTACCTAGCTATCCTAACAATTAAGGTATCGTTGATTTATGATATTACACTTCAAACTCATAATTTTGCAACTCAACAAACAATGTCATAAATCCTCCATCTACCCTACTCCATCTGCTATGCTACTGGTGCCAAATATTTTTCTTCTACATATTTTCAATCACACAAGATATCATTATTATTGATTTTAAAAGTGAGTTGTCATTTACATTTACCGAATGTTTTCCCTGCTGGTATTCTTCCTTTCTTCAAGCACAGCTGGGCTTCCACCTCTTCCTGCTCCTTGAGAACTTGCTGTTGTTTTTGAGGCAGGTCAGCTGACAACAAGTTCTCTCTGTTTTTATTTGAAAGTTTCTTTTTTTCTCCCCATCCGTTTTGGATATATATGTTTGATGGATAGAGAATTTTAGGCTAGCAAGGTTTTCCCCGCCCCCAGCACATTCTAAGAACAATTTCGTTGTCTTCTGGCTTCACCCAGTTTTTGCTAATAAATCAAAGCTGTCGGACGTACTGGTGCTCCCTTGAAAACAACCTGACTTTGCATTCCGACTGCATTTAAGCCTTCTCTGTCTTCAGCTTACAGCACCTCCATGTGATGTGCCCGCGTACGGCTCTTTGCATGTACCCCACTAAGGAGTGCAGAGCTTCTGCAATCTGTGGTTTGATGTCTTTCGTTGGTCATTTTTAGAAAACTCTCAGCCAGCATTTCTTCTTCTAGGGCTCCAAACCCACCTACGTGAATTTTCTTCGCCGTGTCCCACATGTCTCGTATTCTCTTTCCTGCATTTTTCTCTCTGTGCTCCAGTCTGGATATTTTCTCACGGTCCAACACTCGTCTCTTCTTTCCGTGCGTGTCTGAACTGATGCTAGACTCGTGTACTGAATTCTTAATTTCAGTGCCAGCATTTCCATCTGACGTTTCACTTGACAAAAGTAGATCTGTATTGAAATTCTCCTTTTCTTCTATTTCATTGAACACAGTTTCTGAAATCACCGGCATGTCTCTTTCTATTACTTGTTTTTTTCTCTTTCTTTTGGTCGTCTGGTTTCAAACTCTAGTGTGCCTCTGAATTTGTCATTTGCCAACCAGAAATCTGTCTGCATAACTGTGGAGGTTCCGGAGGGTCCGGGCCATTTGCCTCCTAGGAGTGCCATATATTCCCTGTTGGGGACAACCAACGCAGTCGGGCCTCTTTGATCCTGCCGGTGGTTGGATCTGAGTTGTCAGGGCCAGCTTTTCTCAGCTTTTCCTTCCTCTAAGGTACAGCCCTCTGGAACTTCCCATCGAAGCCGGGTTAACTCTCAGGTGCTCCGTCCCGGCCTGAACATACCCTTTGTCCCGTCAGCACCACGGCTGCTGCTGGAGGGTCTGCACAGCTTGTCGGGCTCCCCGCTGCTTCCTTCTGCAGAGACTCTCGGAGGCTTGCTCTGACCAGGTGCGCCTTGGAAGTTGGCCAACACCTCAGAGGAAGCCCGAATGCCCACTTTTCTGCTTACTTCCCTGGGGTGCTGTCCTCTAAACCTCAGAGATTTCCATAACCCCCAACTCCAGCCTCTCAGCCTCTGGGACGACTGCTTTCGGCCATGACTCCAAACCCCCGTGTTGGGAATCAGCACGTGTCCTTGGGGAGCAAACTGGAGTGTGCGTGCGGCTCCCCTCGGTGAGCCTCCTTCCTCTCGGGACCCTAATCCCTCAAGCCCTGACTGCACTGGCTGCTCTTCAGTGCCCCTACATTGTTGCTGTATCTATTTCCATAAACTTTCATCCTTCTTTGTCTTTTTTTGGCAAGAGGGTTACTTTAATACCAGCTACTCTGCCACAGTCCAATATAGTCTTCTGAAAGAACCCAGTTTCTTATCCAAGCAGAGTTTAAACTCAGTTACTAAGGAAGCAGGCTGCTGGTCTGGATGAGCTCCCCAGCTTCACTCAGACCTAGGACTCCACTCAACATCAGAGGCCGCGGGACTCACACAGGGGCGAATGCATGAAAGTTTAACATGAGGGAACAGGAAGCGCAGCCAGGAGAGGTGGAGGAAAAAGACCCCGTCTCGTCTAGACGTGCCAACTTTGGTTCTGTTTGCCAGGCAAGCACTCTGTTCACTAGATAAAGCCCAGGATAATTTCTGAGTTATGTGACAACCATTCTCTCCACTAATTATAGGAAAAAGGCAAAAGCATCACAATGCAAATTTCTCCTACTCCTTGAAAAGCTGAAACAGATTCAGCTTCCAAAGGCATGTGACTTAAGCTATCTTGTGGTTTCCCGTCTGGGTACAGCCCGGGAGCCGGCTGGCTGCCTGCTGCCGCTTCTCAGATACGCCCTACTCACTCCAATCTTATTCCTGCTTA